AGGCCACTAAATCACTGAGATATGCTTTGATTGTTGACTTGTGGTACTACACTAGGGCGAACTGAAGGACTCATGTGGTCAGTCAACTGTACCTTGAGGTGGGAGGTGGATAGTGCTGAAATTCAAAAGTCCTCTGCTTAATTATTTTACATGTTTACCCAAAGGAAGATGCAGTTCATTATGAATGAATGCTCTAATATAGATCAAGTGAGCAAAGGCTGTAGAGGTTCTCTCCTTCACTTCTCACCCACCTGAGCTCTACTTCCAGTTCATCTTCCTCCATAAGAGAGATACAAATGCAGTGGAAATGAATAGTTTTCACTGGTGGTGGTTTCCTCATGTCACACAACCTACCAGTCTTCTGACTCAGAGCCTCCACAATGAGAGGCCTTCAGTTCTAATTTAACTCTGAAATGCCCCTGAAACCAGATGCCCTGAGTTTCATTGAACTATATTTTACAGGGTGGGTCAGTTCAGGTTAACCACAAACTCTGTGGATGGACATGGGCCTAGCTCACAGCTTGCTTAACGTAAACTGATCTCCAGATGACATCAACAGGGTAAACCATGCCATAGATATCTGTGCTGGGTCCTTTTTATTTTGTACAGGGGTCCCCAGTGTGGTGACTGTGGGTGCCAGGACACCCATGGACACCTTTCCCGGGGCCCGCCAAGTGTTTTTAGAAAGTGGGTGGGTCCAGATGGGGCTTTTGACCTGTATGTTTTACCCTTCAGCAGAATTACACCTTTCTTTGCCTACTGAAGTCAATGGTTACTCTGCTTAAGATTCCACCGCAGAAACTGCAAATAAGAATATGCACATACTATTTTGTCAGACCAGTTTGTGTCCTTTACAACTACTGTCCCCTCATTCTCTTAACGGTTGTTATTAGCAAACCAGTTAAAAGCTATCTGCATTTCCAGCTTATTAGAAATCATATCTAGGCTGAAAAGTCTTATCAAGGTGCCCCATAACTAGGGATGTCAGAGAATGTTTTATTTATAGTAAGGACATCATTTTGTTTGTAATAAGAGAGTTGGCCTGGAGGACATTTAATTTAAATAGCCATCCACATGTTTTATAGAGCATTCTTTTCCTGAGGACTTAATCAAATCTTATGCTGTTAAATCCATGTTAATTACAAATGCCATAATAAAAATAGCTGGTACAGCTACACTGAGTTACACTTAACAAACAACTATCAAACAATGACCAGGGTTTAAAACGTTTCAGCCAGCAAAGTATGGTATGGCTGGAAATCAGGAAGTCAGGGATAAACTGAATTCCCCTGCACAAAATATCTAGCACATGCTATGGGGTATGAATGAAATTTTATTACGGCATCCAGCCAGAGCAATCCAAACACCCCAGCAAGGGGCAACACCCCAGCAAGAGGCAATGCTACGGGGTATAAACCACCCAAAGCAAAGCAATGGGAGAATAGGGGTTTGCATACCACTGAGCCATAGACCCTTACCCTACATTGATTGTGTCCAGCCTGCCATCTGAATCACAGCAAGATCACTAAGAAAACCATGAAAACACAGCTCTTGCTGCACTATTTTTCATCCCTACTTTTTCTTGACTGGTCAATAGCAACACCACTTCACACTTTTGGGGTTTATGCAATACAGGTTACTAAAGCCAGTTCAAGCAAATGTGGGTGACATGCGAGGGGCACTTGTGTCTTTCCTATCCACAGCTGTGCTACAAATCAGGGCCAGTCACACACAGTCTCAGCCTAACCTAATTCATAATGATAAAATAGAGTGGAAGCAAATTACGTAAGCCTTTGGTCCTCATGGAAGAGAAAAGTAGGGTCTAAATAAAGTAAATAAGTCAACAAAGCTACAGTGAACAGGTCAGGGGATATAGTGCAAACCATCTGAGATGCCAACACGAAATAGCTTGGAGCCAGCACAGTACTTCTGAAAGTAATCCAGCATGAAGATGGAAATGTATTTTTAGATCCCGGATTTTGTTAGGCACCTGGAAATCCTGGGTTCACAGATCTATCTACCTATTTACCTATCCACCTATCTACCTATCTATCTCAAATATCTACCCTGCCCTTCCAGCCAAGGCCAGCCAGCTGGCTGGCCTGCCTGCCTCTCTCTCTTTCTCTCAATCATCTAGCTAGCTAGCTATCTGAAAGGGGTTTTTGGTTGCATCTGCAAGTATGTTTTGCATAGAATCAAAAATTGGGGGTCTTGATAAACCAAAAAGAAAGTGCAGAGAGCTAGCACCGTTTCCCAATCACAGCATAGCCAGCATATTGGTCTATCACTATTCAGATACATGAAAAGGAGGATGTGGATGGAGGATACTGCCTGTGATATGTTCACCCACTATGTATTTACTGGAATCCTCTGGCCCAGCCAACTTTTTCACAGTTTTATGATTATGGAGAAACACTTGAAAAATGTATGGATAGTGGCTGGTAAATAGGGTTGCCAAATGACCCCGGGGGGCGGGGAATCCCCCGCTTCGGAGCCCCGAGTTCCGCCCCAGCGGAATCGGGGCCCGGGGGGGACCCCGCCCCCGAAGCTGCGTCACCAGAGGTGACACAGCCACGTTGCTGACGTTTGGGGCGTGGCTGAGCTCGTCGGGGGGGGGAAACCATATGTTTCCCCCCAACGAGCTCGGCCACGCCCCCAACGTCAGCAATGTCTCACGTCACTTCCGGTGACGTCGCGGCGGTGCGTGCGCGCGAATGAACACACACAGCCGGCTCCCGACCGGGACGGAGCCTCCCCCGCCGGTAAGGTTTCAGGATTTGGCAACCCTACTGGTAAAAGCTCAGAAGTACTATTATTTTAGAGCACTTCTAATAGAAGATGGGCCTTTTACAGAGCAATCATGTGCAGAGTTGCTTCACTCCAAGCCCACTGAAACCAACAGGGTTAGACTGGAAGAAATTTAAAGTAATTAAAATATTTAAAGTGGGTAGTGCAATTCAATTAATTCCAGTTACTACAGCCAGGAAAAATAAGTGGGCTGATCCCAAGCCATGATGGTCTCATGGAGCAGCAGTAGGGAAGCCATCTGGTAGATGCCCACTGCCTCAACCAAAGGCCTGGTGGAACAGCTCAATTTTACAGGCCCTGCTTAACTGCAACAGGTCTCGGCGGGCCCTGATCTCAATCAGGAGTACATACCAACCTGCTGGGGCCAGCCCTGAAAAGGCCCTGGCCCTGGTCAAGGCTAGACGGGCATCTTTCAGGCTGGGGACAACCAGCAGATGGCTCTCTGCAGAGCGCAAGGCTCTCCAGGGCACATATGGGGACAGGTGGTCCCGTAGATATGTTGGTCTCAGGCTGCATAAGGCTTTAAAGATCATTGCCAACACCTTGAAGCAGATCCAGTACTCAATTGGTAGCCAGTGCAAATGGCGGAGCACTGGCTGGATGCGCACCCGCACAGATGTCGCTGTCAGCAGGCACACCGCCACATTTTGCACTAGCTGGAGTTTCTGGATCAGCCTCAAGGGTAAGCCTGCATAGAGTGAGTTGCAGTAATCAAGCCTGGAAGTGACCATTGCATGGGTTACTGTAGCCAAGTCCTGGAGGGAGAGATAGGGAGCCAGCTGCCTTATCTGCCGCAGATGGTAAAAGGCAGACCTGGCAGCCACAGTGACCTGGACCTTCATGGAAAGTGATGCATCCAAGATCACCCCCAGGCTCCTGACTTTCTGGGTTGGCACCAATGGTGCTCCATCCACGGTAACCTAATCCCCAAATCTACTCCTCCCCAGCTCAGGTACAGAACCTCCATCTTTGCAGGATTTAACTTCTGCCAGCTCTGTCGCAACCACCCAGCCACAGCCTCTAGTGCACTGTCCAAGTTTTCAGGGGCGAAATCCAGGTGGCCGTCCAACATCAGATAGAGATGACACCCCAGGCCAAACTCCCAGAACAACTGGGTGAGGGGGCACATGTAGATGCTAAACAGTATCATTCATTGAGAGGACTGCCCCCTGTGGTACTCCACATTCTAGTGGGTGTCATGGGGAGACCCTCTCACCTAGTGCCACCCTCTGTCCCTGACCATGGAGAAAGAAGGGAAACCATTGTAGGGCAGTCCCTCAGACTCCTATGTTGGCAAGGCGGAGGGTCATAAGATTGTAATTGACCGTGTTGAACACTGCTTTCAGGTTTAATAGCAACAGCGGCGCCGAACTGCCTCGATCCAGATGTCTCTGGAGGGTCACCAGCACCATCTCCGTCTCATGGCCAGGGTGGAAACCAGACTGGATCAAGAATGGATCAAGTATTAAATAATGAACCCATATCCCTTCAATTTCCCCATCATCCCTTTTCTTGTGGAAATATTTCAAAATTTGAAATTTTGGAAACAGAACAACAAATCTACAGGATTGTGACAGTTTTGGGTTTTTAAAATCACATCACTTTAGAGGTCTCATGATGCAACTTGCAGCAACATCTATACATCCCTATTCCTATAAAGAGTTTATAAAGAGTTAGCCATGACCTGGGTTGCCCAAGCTAGCCTGATCTCGGAAGCTAAGCAGTGTCAGCCCTGGTTAGTACTTAGATTGGAGACCTCTGAGGAAGTCCAGGGTTGCTACACAGAGGCAGGCAATGGCAAACCACTTCTGTGAGTCTCTTGCATTGAAACCCTACAGGATCACCATAAGTCAGTTGTGACTTATATAAAATGAATAACAACAAGAACAACAATAATAATCTTCAGTCAGGCCCAGGATGCTTTAGAACCATTTCTTTCTACTTATCTCTCTCCTCCATTCCTGTTCCCTCCACTACACTGAATATTCTCAGACTTTGGAAGCCATCGTCTAGACAATTTAACTCGGCCAAGGAACATACACTAAAAATGTTTTCAGATTGTTCACTGTTCTTGCCTCACCTATGCACACTAGGCACATCCTTTTCAGTGTATATGAAGTTTATTTTTAGCCAGACATGCTGCTCCAGTTTGCCAGTCAAGTGTCTCATTCTAGATTTGTGAGTTATCTTACCTCCTTCTGTAGTTTTAGGTTGCTTGAAGGAAGGTCACAATAGACTTGCCTTGTAGGAACCTGCTTGTTCACCTTTTGCTGCACCTCCTGTTCTGTATGAGCTCCACTGCCAACTCCTGGGAGGTATCTTCTTGCCTTTAATGGTGTCAGGGTCTGGTAGAAAAGATAGGCAGCCAGCACCAGCACCAGAAGGAATGGACGGAGTCGACAGTACCTCCGGCAAGGCAGAATTTGCCTGCAAGCCATGGCCACCTCACAGTTTTAATGTTGCCCATAACTGTAACGGTCCCTATAGTTTCTTTTCATCAGCATGAGATCAAGGGGTGCACTTGCGATTTCCCACAGGCACCTCAAGTTCTTTCCATAATTTCTGGGTCTGTGTTTCCCCATGGCACGGGATAGCAAAAAGTCTTAGGTCCTCAAAGCAGAATAACAAACTGTCCTACAAGGAGTGGTGACAGATCTGTGCTGAAGGGGGGGGGGGAGAGAAATTGCAAGAAGATACACGTATGCAGTGAGTGATGCTGGACTGAAGAAACCTTACAATTTGGTGAAAAGCTCTACTCATGACAGTAAAAGAAGCTCCAGAAGTTCTATAGCATTCAAGAAAATGATAAAAAGTGCATTATGTTCCTCATACAGCTTAAGAGCATCAAGGCTTTTCTAGCAGTTGCTTTGTTATTCTTCTTGTTTTTGTCTTCTTGTACTTCCAGTCTCTGTTTCTTTTACTTTCATCCCGGATCTCTTAAATTGCCTTTTTCCTGTCAGCGAACACACACTGCCTTCTCTGAATAAGTCTGTCTGGATTTTAACAAGCAGAAAGGCTAGTTCTCGCTCAGTTGGTTTTTCCAGCTTTCCATTCAAAGTGATGTTTACTTACTCCGTTCTTATCCCTGTCAGACGTTTTCCATTCTCCCCTAACACGTCGCTGATTAAAACCACTCGGAACAATCCAGCCTCAGGACTCCAGCTCATCTCGCACATAGCCACACAGCACTCCATCTGAACTCCGTTGGACCACAGACACGTAAATAAAAAGCAGGACTGCTCTGAGGGGTGGGGTTAAGTTTACCAAGTTCTGAAAAAGGCACGCATACACACTGGAAGCTGCAGGAGGAATGCTGGATCACAGAAACAATGTACTTTCCCCCTCATATGCTCTGCACTCCATAAGCAAAGCTCAAAAATGAGACTAGGATATCGAAAACTGAGCACTAAGTATAACCAGAACTCAAAGAGGAAACTGGGAACAGAATGTGCTGGTTAAAATACTCTAATCATGCTGGTGAGAGTCAAATAAATACTCCAGTGATTTCAAAACATCAGCCCATAGACGAGATTGCCTGGTGCAGCTCTGCATCATCTACAGTGCAAGTGCAAGCAGTGTTACACCAGTGTAAACCCACTAACTTAAGTTGATTTAGGAGACTGTAACTTTGCTTAGAGTTGCACTGATAATTTTCCAAAGAGCATCTGGAACTTTTGCTCCATCTCTGCATGGGGTGTTATTAGAGCAATCATTCTTGGTAGAGCTGCAACTGAATCATACACCCTCAGAGGTTTCCTAGTTCATCTCTGCATGAGTTACTGTTCTGGACTAACCTCCTTGCGATCTGGAGGCATGTCCAGATTGGCAACTCTTTTAGAAATGGAATAATAGTGTATGCTGAAGGGAGATATTTCTTAAACACTCCCACAGTAAACCTTTCCAGGTGTGAGAGTGAAATGTGCCTCAGTGACCAGATGTTTGAGCAGTACAGTCCTATCCATGCTACTGTGACATCTTAAGCTCCTTATAGTGCTTCACTTTTGTTCACTTCTGTCTCAGACTCATTTCCTCTGCATAGGGTTACCAGATGTCCTCTTATTTATTTTTTGACTGTCCTCTTTTGGGCTCTTAAAAAAAAAACCTGATGAAAATGTCCTCTTCGGGGTTGGAAGGTTAGGAACATTCCTAGGAAGTAGCAATTACCACAGCTTAAATAGTAGGGGTATTTAAAATGAGATTTGTCATAGTGATCACTTGATTGAAGTAGTCAGTCAGGAAATATGTCCTCTTTTTTGCTTTTCAAAATTTGGTAAGCCAACTCTCTGCAGCAATGGCATGTGATATGCTTAAGCTCAGGAAACTGGAGAAGTTTAACAGACACAGGGCAAATGAAGAGATACTGATTCTTTGTCATGCTAGCTAGCTAAGAACCAAAGTATTTTAAGAAGCAATAACAGGGATACTTTTTTCAGCCCTCTTCCGGTGTCTGCTGTACTGCAGAATGTTCTTGGGATAGTGCTGATGCAGTAAGGTAAGTTTAGACTCTGGACTTAATGGTCTCAGCCCCCCTCCCCTCTGTATTAATGTCAGGCATTCTAGGAACTACAGTTCCCAGAATGCACAGGGAAACGAAGTTCGAGAATAAAGCTGGAGGTAAGTGGGTTTAAGCTTGCCCATGTCTAGCTACAGACTACATTTACTACCCTTCAGCTAAGCCAGGGGGCTAGGAGTGTGGACTTTGGCCCCAAGTATCATCACTAGGAAGATTTTCCTATTGCCTTCTTTTACCCCACTTCACGTACAACCATTTATCCAAGATGTGCATAGCCCATAGCACTGTCCCCTGAGAATTCATACACTTGTCTGCACTATAAGGGGGAACAGTCCCGCAAATGGAAGGGATCAGAAAGAGAGCCATATATGGAATACCACAAGAAAAAATTTAATCCACTTTAACTATTTTGTTTAGAATACTAAAATAACATTAGGGATGACTCATGGTTTTGGCAGAACCAAAATCAAAATGGGATTCTTCCACTCCACATTATCTGTGCTTTTAAGATTTTGCACTTCTTATGATAGCAAAAGCTAGTGACTGCAGGTAACTCCTATACAGTCAAGCCGTAGAGCTCTCTCTACATCTCATCCCATCCTTTCTTCTTTTAATATCTACCAGTATCATCAAGCTGGGAAGGCTTTGATACTGGGACTGAAAAAAACATGTTATTACTTGATGCAGATGATGTTGTGAAGCAGCTGAACATGCAAGGTTCTAGTCCACAAGTCGAATCTCACCTCAGCCTCAAGTGATCTTAGTCCAGACACTGTTCCCTTAGCATCAGATCTCCCCCAGATACAATATTTGATTATCAAAGCTGGGTATGAGGGCAAAGACACCTTTGACTAGTTATTTTAAGGGGGCTCAGCTAAATGAGACCGCAGAGCTTCATTCAAGCTATTACTTATGCTAGGTTCTCAGTATTTCACCTTCTACTTGGGTTAGCTCAACAGAAAATAGAAATATTTAGAAATATGGGTGTCAGCTTTAGGTCCAATCTGCATTGGTCTTTTCTGCCGCTGTGCCTTCAAATTCACATCGTCTCACAAAGTCCTGTCTACATGGCATGCCGCCATCGCCTTCCTATTGCATTGACTCAGCATTGGCTGTCTGCATCATTTTATTGCCCTGTAGTGGCCTCTCTGAGGTCACTACGGTGTCCCACAGCGTTATCTGGATCTCGTTTAAAGCAGTTCCAATTGCTCCTCCCCTCCCTCGAGCCACTGTGAGCAAAAAACAGACAACTGAAACAGAATCCCCCCCACCCCCCAGTCATCTATGTGTTTAAAAGCAGCCAGGGAACATTTTTCTACAAATATTTTTTTTTTGCTGGTGGGTTAGAAGCACGCTCACCCAGCTTGTTCACTTTCCAGCCCCCCTCTGCCTCCCCTGCCAGGTCACCCTCCTTTACTTTCTGCAGGGGAGTCATGGGTGTCGTTTCCTCCCCACAGCGTAGTGCCCCGCTGGCGCCCCGGGAGGCCTCCCCCCCTCTTGCGTGCGCTCTCCCTCCTGTGCCCGTGGTTGCCATGGTGAGGACTGATGCAGATAGCTAGCCTTTATTCCGAGCCAGAATGGGAGGGAAAGGGGAACAGAGTACAACGGCGCCGCAGCAGACTGAAACTGCTTTACTCAGCTGATGCAGATTCAGCCTTAGGCCAGAAAACTTTAGGTGACAACAGCAAGACTTGGAGCAATGCACTTGGCAACCTTCTACAGGAAATCTTAACAGCTTTCAAATATAAAACCAAACCCCAACTATAGAATTAACCCCCCCCCCATAGTGTCTTAGCTCCATACAACAAAGACATGAATTTCTAGTAAATTCAGGCCAATCCAAGACATTCCGTTTTATAGACTTTCCCAAAATGACTGCACTATGGTTAAGGTTGCCAACTGATGGGCTCCAAAATAAGGAACATATGATGTGACCATAGGAAAATGATATCTTCTGTGTGACAAAACATTAAAATATACCTTCTGGAGTATTGCTTTGTGCAGTAAAGGTGTATCTTCTTTTTTCAACAGATTGGATCCAGTGGTGATTTTTGTTGATGTAAGGGATTTGGTCAGCAGAATGGGACTTTCTCACCAGCCCTCTCCTGCTTTTCCTTGAAATGCTAGTACACAGGAGAACCAGGCTGCTGATGAGGAAGCAGGAAGAAGGAAAGCTGTGGGAGCATGGGGGGGGGGGGGGGGAGATGGGGGAGACAGCTTGCCAGGGAGAGGCAGGCGACGATGTACTCCATGCCCGAGACATCCTCAGGCTGGATGAGCCAGAGCACCCGGGGTCACTGCAGAACTTGGAGGAAGGTTGGCAGCAGGAGACACGTGGCAGCCATGCCAGTGTCCCGACACACCTGCAGGGAAGCAGTGCAGGGCACTGAACCAACAGCCCTTCCCCACGCTAGCCCCACCAATGCTGAGGTAGGGGAAAGGGGGCAGAGACAGAAAGGCAGTAGTCTACTGAGCTTGGGGGTTGTCAGTCTCACAAGTCTCACCCCAGGGAGGAGAGGATTAGCAAGTTCAGTGAGGTCCTGCCTGGGGGGGGGGGATTTAAAGAGAAGGCATGAAGCAGACTAGGAAGAGCTAGGGAGAAGCCCAGAGGTGCTAGGAGAGCTCCTGGGCTGTCAGTAGGGGAGAAGGAACTGGGTGCAGATGAACTCCCTTTCCCTTGTATTATCTGAGCCTAGCCCAGCCTGCTGGCTAAAAAATCAAGCCCTGGAGGGCTCTACCCAATCAAACTTGCCCCCAGAACCCCCAGACTCTGACAAACAGCTAGAGAAATAGATTTGGAGTCTGCAGCTGGGAGAATCAGCAAAAGTTGCCCTTCCCCTAGTTGTTACTGGAAATATACCACTGGATTAAATCCTATGAGTATTTCTGAAATAAAGGTGAGCAAAGACTAGTACTCAAAACAAAACAATTCTGTGTTTGTTTTTTAATCACACACACTGAGCAGTGCAGTACAGCCTTCGCTTTACAACAATGAAACTGAACTCCTCAAATTGTCATTTACGGGCTTGTGACTACTTTGAATGTTGTAGGCTCTTCTTGTCAACGGTTTGTGTGCATTTTTATATATAGACTCACAACCCACAGATTTTGTTCATGGATTATCACTCCTACAATTGCTTAATTTAGTTATTCACACATAGTAAATCAAGGTGTTAAAAGCACTGCAAACACAGTTGCACAACCAAGACCTTGGCTTTCTATTCTCTTGTTTTTACCAGACTATGGGAAATCAGTGCAACCAAAACTGTCAAGAGTAACCCCTGGTGGCTATAATAGGAACTTCACCCACATAATGCATAAACCTATGTTAATCTTTCACCAGACTGCTAAGAAGAAATGCTGTGCTGGATAACCAATTTATGCTGGTTGGGAAGAAGAAGATCTTGATGGATACTGTGCTCCCCACTTTTCATGAAGTTCAGATGATCCTAGATGACTCAGTTTAAAGCCTTGGGATTATGTTGGATCCAATGTTATTGCTGGAGAAACAAGTTAATGCAGCTGCAAAAAAAACACTTTCTGCCAACTCAGCCTAGGCTATAAGATGTCCCCTTTCGTTGATACGGCTGACCTGGCCACTTGGATCCATGCCACACTAACATTCTGACTAGACTACTGCAATGTACTGTACATTGATTTCCCCTCGAAAGTGATTCAGAAACTCATGTTGGTGAAGAAAGCTGCAGATGGGCTATTATCAGGAGCTAAACAGAGCATGGCTAGACAAAGCATGCATATTACATGCAAGTGTCACGTTAATACTTATGCTATGCTTCAGTTCTTCTTGGTGGTTCCACACTTCTAAAATCCTAATGCACTGGTTACTGAATGTCCCATTGTGTTGATTGTACTATCTGTAATCCGTCTTGAGTCCTTGTGAGAAAGGCAGACTACAACTAACATAAATAAAATAAAAATCAATAGCTTTTACTGAATTTTTAATATCCTAGACTGCTTTTCCAACCAATAATCCAGGTAGTTATGTCCTATGACTAAACACAGTACATGGAAGTAGATCTGCTTGATTTCAACCTACTACCGTTTAAGAGTCTTAGGGTAATGTCTAAGTGACCTTCCTTGTTATGGGTAACGTTAATAATTATCTCACCCTCAAAATTGTCCCAGAAAAAACATCCTTTTAAATAAACAGCTTCTTCCAAGCAAATGGCGGGGGGGGGGGGGGGGGGGATGACACACAGCATCCCCAATGGAGTTATCGACAAGCGCAGAAGCATTTTCATCTCATGTTTCCTTCTACCCCTGACAGGAGGAGGGAAGTCGGGTTCCATACCACATTTCCATCACTGTGAGGCTCCGTGAACACTGCTGCTGTTCTGTTTTTATGTGAGGCCCTGCTTCCACATGAGGTTTGAAGCTTCAAGCTGTTCTTTGAATGCTGCGATTTAACTCACTTTACGGTCATTTTATTTCATTATTCACATATGTGAATATCCACCCCCACACACACACAATCTTGTAAGGTAGATTCAGCTAAGAAATGGTGATAACCCAGTGACTTCTGCAGATTTCCTAGCCCAATAAGGACTTGGATTCCTTGATGCGAAGTTTCTCTCACACTATACTGCAACCTCTTCAGCATGCCATGGAAGCAATCTAAACAGACAAAACCATTTTCTACCTTTGTATAAGCTGTGCTGGATTTGACTGTGCTTGACATTAGAAAAACACAATATGCTTATTAAAACCATTAGCACATCGTGATGGTAAAATTAGCACTATCTTTAAATATAGTGTAATAAGTTTTCATTTAAAATGTTGTGCCTAAATTCCTCATATAATTTATGAATATTTTAAATCTATAAAAGTGTTATTTTTAATAATTTTCTGGTCAACACACCTTTCTTTTAAGGGAACATTTGTTTGACATTAGAAACAGGAAAACCCTGACAGACAACGATCACACGGCAAGCATAGCACTTAGTATGTTAGAGATGGAAACCTTTTATTTATATATATTTTTTAAAAAAATAAAAACTATTTAAAATCCTCCAGTTAATTAGACAGCATATTATGAAAGCTCCATGAAATGTTTTACTGTACTTTTTTGATAAAGTATGCAAAGCATTAATACTACCATTTGATTTTTTTAATTGTAACACCTAATATGTTCCAATTTAAAGGATCCACTTGGACAAAAAAATAAACACATTTGGTATAAAAGGTTTATCACTTTTAACATCCTTGTAATGATGGCCCCAAAACATATAAACACTAGTGGGTTTTGTTTTTTTGTTTAAAGTGTACAGGAGTCTGTTTTTTGTTTGTTCTGTAATAAGTACTCTAAAGGACACCAGCCCAGTGTATACAAGAACCATTTTCTTCAGCCTGCTGAATTTAAGTTTCAACAAGAAACAAAGCTATAAAGGCATTTGGAAAAATCCCTTCTCTTAACATTCTGACTTTCTGCACCACCGTATATACACAAAATATCACATCACAGTTTTTGTGTACAGAACATGCAGCAGAATGCCAGCTAAATTATAAAATCCTTCAAAACCTTCGTTGGCTGGAATTTGTTTGAAGACTGAATGTTTGTAGAATGCCCACTGCTTAGAGAAAATGGCTGGAGAGTACAAATGTCTGCATATGTTTGCCACTGGAACAATCCGTGGCTAACTGGAAAAGTATTTATAGCACAACAGTAGTGCATAAATAATTTAGATACAATATTAAAACACAACTAGCAAAATTAAGTCAACATTTTATGACAGCTAAATTGATCCTTCTTTGACCGTTTGCAAAGAAGTGTTCCAACCCCACCCCCCAACCCCGACCCCAGTAGCACAATATTTTCCACTGACGTGGCAGGACATTTATTTATGCCTATTGCCTCTCCTCTTCATCGCAGCTGTACATTGTGGACAGTACCATTTCCCCTTGGGTGCCTCTGTCAGTCCAACACAGCCATAATGGAACCACTCAATAGGACACTGAAAGGCAAGTAATGAGAAAACACATGTCACTGCCTCCTAAAAAGCTTATGACAGACTTTCAGCACTTGCAGAAGTTGAGAAGTAGTCTGTAACATGGCTCATTTTATTTATATAAAGTGAAAAATGGGGAATAAAAATGCTACCACTGACTGGGAGGATTTGAAAATAAAATCAAGGGGGGGGAAGGCCCTCTTTTAATGGTCTGCAAGTGCTATGAGTTCTTCTGTGGAATTCTTACTCTCCCCTCATCCTAAGGGTTTTGCATGTGCCATGGGGTTTTTAATTCCTGCTCTCCCTCAACCTCCCCTGAACTTTAAAGCAACTCTAGAAATATCTACAGCTATAGCATTAGAAGCAATTTCTAGATGAAAGGAGGTAAGGAAACCCTGGTGTGAATGGACAACCCTCTGCATGCCCTGGCCTTTATTTTTGGCTTAAAATTGTAATTTTTAACAATGTAATTGTCTGAATTTAATGGAAACCAGAGCACGGCTTATGACGTTTAAATATTAGCTACGTCTACATTATAATTCTGACCCAGGGAGCCTCATATACCAAATGCTCTCAGAGTCTAACATGTCAAACTGGCTAACATATATTGAGGGAAAAAATTAAGGCCATGGGTATATTTTTGGATTCACTGACTATGCTCCCATTAATGGGCGCATTCCAGTTGATCAAACAGAGAATGTTGGCTACTGAGCATGAGTTACATAGTCTCACCAACAAAACCTGCTCTCCTCTGAACTTCGAGATACCCTTCATTGTAGGTAGGATGGTTTCATATTTATCCTCCCTACAAGCGCCACAACTACGTAGAGCTTTCTCTTTAGCCAGATGCAATACCATACCATCTGCCAATCTATATGGCAGATTCAATAAGACAGCAAACGCGGCTAGACATTGCCCTTGTGACTCTAGATTTGTTGAGGCAGTCTAACATGTTTTGTTGCACTGTCACTTTTATGTAAATATATGCTCTAAATATCTAAACTCTATATTGGCCAAGATGATGGGTTTTTTCAGATTCCCATAAAGTTTACAAACTTTTGAATGACTCCTCTGTTGAAGTAACTGAGAAAGTGGCTAAGTGCCTTCAATCCGCCATGCTGCTACACCAAGAAAAAGTACAGATGTAACCTATTATTTTATCCAGTGTATTTGTAATAGTGTCCCACTTGTATATTTTTATAATTACTTTGTTCTACTGATATATGCCAATAAAGGCTGACTTGACTTGACAATGTAATTTTACATCTAAAATCTTTCCTCCTTTCCATACTTACATCTTGATTATCACAGCCCACCATTTCACCATAGGAAACCTAGTTGAAAGGAAACAAAGAAAATCTTAGTATCTTCCACAAAATACTTCACTTCAAAGATACTTCATTATCAAAGAGACATAAATGGGACACATGCCAGGTTGTCCTAGGCTGGAAACGCATTCATGTTATTCACTGGCTTTTCTGTTCTTGCCTGTTTCAGATCGAAAAAGACCAGCAAAGCATGCCAAGAACTCCCTATTTGGTTACTCAACAAATGTTTTGATTTTCTAGATTATCCAGTACCATTTAAAGCATCCATTTTACACATGCTTGGTAGTCACTCTGATGAAATCCCTAGATAAAAATAACTATTTTCACAAGGATTAGGAGAAGATTATATCTTTCTATAAAAAGTGAAACAAACAAGGCAAGCACAAGAAACTTCTTATCCTCAGCTCACACTTTCTTATTCCACACAGAATTCCTGGCTTCCATTTTAAGTTAAAGGTTGTTTGAGTGTTTTCAGGTGAAAGCCCAGAGATACAGTTGCACGTATCTGCTCACAGTACTAATCATCTACTAGGTGAAGTGTGCTATTTGTGTTCACCTACACAATTCATGTGATTAACATCAAGCATATATTCATTTTTTTGCAGGAATTCATGCATATACAATGCAGCACAGAACTAAGTATGAGTTCAGCAAAGGTTAATTCTGGGTATAAGCTTTTGTGTGCATGAACACTTCTTAAGAGACATTGAAACAGACTTCCTCAAGCCTTACATACAGGTAGAGAAAGGGTGGGAAAGGTTGGTTTGTTACTCAAAGGGCATTTTTTTCAGCTGATCCAAAGGGCATTTTGAATGCTACTGCATGCTGGATAATGTTTCTATAGAGCAAGACTGAGCTCTTCTAAAAAGTGGAAATACTTTTATATGCTGCCTCTCCAGAGAATTGTTCAAGGCTATTCACAATGAAAACAACAAAACAAGCCAAGTCCTAAAAACTGCATAAAACAATGAGCAGTCTAGTCATAAAATTGTCCTCAGACTAGAAGCAAAGCAAAAAACCCCAAGGAGTTCCTTTCCCCCCCCCCCCGCTAAAAATCTGGATTAAAAGAAATGTTTTGGCTTCAAGGGGGAGGACATTGTAAAAATGAGGGGCTATGACAGAAAAAGCCCAGTCTCTCATCATCACTCATCTCACCTCTTGCAGGTGGGAGCACAGAGAGCTGGGCTCAAGCACAGGATCTTAACTGATGGACTAGACAACATGGTAGGAGGCAGTCCTTCAACTATCCCCGTCCATAGCCTTTTAGGACCTAAATGGTACGAATTAGCACTTTTTTCTGTAACCAAAGCACCAAGGAACATGAATATTCTAGGAAAAGAATGGCAGTATAATGAACCAAGCCAAAATTTAAGTAGTCAACTCTATTATCCTGTTATCATCTGAATCTCTTAAATGAAATAGCTGTTTCAAAAGCACTAAAATGCCTCAATATATTTTTAGATGTTTTGCTTGCAGTGCCTTCTTTTAGGATGCCCTATCACCAGGCACTGGAACTTCCACCTCACTCAGTCTTTTAATACAGCACCTGACCTATCTGGTTTCCTTCTCTTCTGTATCTTACTTCCCTTTGCCCCTTAATTCTTGCTTCAGACTAAATATGCCTTTCCCCTGAAGGTGTATATCTACAGTTAGGACATCAATTGATATTTCTACAATGGACAATAAATAACTATTAGTCTGTGTTTTATTGCAACCAATACTGTTAATTCTCTCTATCTCCAGCCTATTTGGTCAGTGTTACCTAGTGTTACCCAGTGTTTTAAATTTCTCTATAGTGCTGAAATTGTGGAAGCACATAATTGATAATAATGAATTTTTCATAAATCGTTACCTTAATATTTTATTGTATGGAGACAGAAATGCTAAATTTCAATAATAAATACTATACATTCCATAACTATAGAAACTAAACCGAACGGGGGGAAACTACATCTTTGAAGAATTCAAATATTTTGACAAATATTTTTGAGGCGGTGAAGAGAAACAGTGGGTATACTGCAGAAACTGTAATTGTGTTGTACGAATGGGCATGAACATCGGGAAAGCCAAGATAAGACATAAAATGTACCAGTTAGTAGCTGGAACGCCTTCTCTAAACAGCTTCTGCTATCAGATCCTTTAGTATTCTTGTATGGGATGGACACAGCCAGTTTAATTCAGTCTCACATAATTCTCTTCCTTACTGCAACTCCCATCAGACATTGCTTTTGTAGATGCAGGTACCCTCCCATAATCCCTGGGATAGTCTTTTTTGGTAGTCCTTCCCTTTTTACCAGCAGAAAAGCTGGCTGGTTCCAACACCAAATGATTCTGATCACAAAGGGTCTGGCTTATTTTAGAATGCTCATGCATTTTATAATCTTAGAGTTAACATTACAAACTGAATAGACTATTATATAACATCTTCTGTTACCTGAAATAGTCTGTTCCCAAGCAAATGAGCCTACGAAATCATACTGTCATATTTGAAGCATTCTCTGCTATGAGCAGAATGTTTCATGTTCTATTCTGTATCACAGCGGAAGGGATTTACCTGATTACAAATGCAGTAGCGTGGCTCATTAGGATCGTACGTCCAATCAACCTGGTTATTAGTATCGGACTCGGGTATTACTGCTGTTTGCTGAGAAAGTTCCTGTGCTAGAGCAGAAGATGAGGAACATGACGACAAAGAGGAAGACGAGGAAGATGATGAGGACTGCTGACTTGAAGATTTGTTATTGCTTCTGAAAAATAAATATATGCATCCTAAATATTTTTTCATCCTCTGTATAATGGTATGAATGCTGAAATTATGAGAATGCTACAACAGAATTTTAAGCAGTTTTACAATAAAGCATATGTTAGTATAAACTTTTTTAGCTTTAGCAGCCACATCTAACAGTTCAGTAAATTTTCAAAATGTAATACACAGGATTTGCAAGGTGGGCAGTGTAATATTGTATATTTTTAAAAAATGCTTTCCCCTCATATTACTTAAGATTCTACAGTAAAACATATGCTCAAATAATAATTACAAGCTTCATATTAAAATATGTTAATGTTCTGATAGCTGATTCCATTCCATTCTTCTCAACTATCCAACTTACTTCCAGAGCAAAGCTCTGCATGTTTAAGCCACACTACAATCTCTTAAGGGATCAGGAACAATGGCTCGCAGTGTTCTTTCACTCTTTCAGTAGCAGTACAGTACTCTTTCAGTAGCAGTACAGTTGTATGTTAGTCTAAATCCACTTTGCATGAAGCCTCAGGTCCAATCAATTCCCTTCTTGGCCTGGACCACTGGTTCCCAAAGTGGGCAATACTGCCCCCTGGGGGGAGCTGGAACGATCCAGGTGGGCGGTAGGAACCTTGGGTGCAATTGGGGGGCGCTGAATAAGGAGGTGGTGGAAGCATAAGGAAAGAAGAGTCCAGAACCTATCTAAAGCAGCCTTTTCCTGTCTTCTCCTGGTCTTCCCTGGGATCAGGGAGGGAGGTGGAGAGGGGTCCCCACAGCCAATCACAGCCATGCATTTGCAAACTGCAAATGCACGTGCACCCTTGTAAGACTGGTGTTGCTGTGGTGGTCGCTGCTGAACTCTGGCTTCAGGTCAACAACATCTTTCTTTACTTACAACAACATCTTTCTTTACTATGCACAAATTTGTCACTGCATCTTTTTGTCCACTTCTTGAAAGTAGATTTCCAGGGGGCCCTGAGTAATTTTGTTTTTCCTGAAATGGGGGCGGTAGGCCAAATAAGTTTGGGAACCTCTGGCCTGGACAATTTGATCAGCTAGTCTAAAATATGCCACGTCCTTGCAGATTTTTTACTGACTTCCCATAATGTTTCAACTCTTCTACACCAAATTCACAGACTACAACATTTAAAGCATCCTCTTTTCCTCTTTGGAACACTTAAAATGGGCTTTACTGAATATTTTATAAAGTTTTTATTTAGCAATACCAGCCATATCGCTGTCTTGACTGTTGCCTTCCTTAGCTTTTAAAAAATATTTCTTTTACTCAAAACAGACATGTCATGCTGATGAGCTCTGATTAAGAGATAAGAAAGACTGACAATCAGATGCTGTATGAGCAGAGATGGACAGATTAGATAGACAGGCAGACTTACTTGACTGCTTGACTGTATGCTAAGCAATACTGAGCCACAAAGACTGAAGAGTGCTGGCTTAGTTAGTTTTAAAGTTAAGACTTGGGGCCAAATGAGTTGTTATGGTGTCCATGGGTCCGACCTACGGATGTCAATGCGTTTTAGAGAAGAATTTGGCCATTTAAAATGCTGCAAGGGCCAAGCCCTGATGCAGAAGGATTTGGTGATCTTGTGCCCCTTTCCCCCTTTTTCAAGGGTTTTAGACCTTGAAAAGGCATGGGGGAACCACACAAGATTGCCTGGTTCCGTTATGCTATGGCTGCTGCATTATTAAATGGCCAAATTTTTCTCTAAAATGGTATCAGTGATTCCAATAATGTCTAGTTTGTCCCTCAGTGACCATTTAGCACTAAGGGGGGAAAAGACTACAGAGAAGGGCAAAAAAATGGCAGAATAACTGCCAGAAGGGAGAAAATCCATCCCCTAGGTGGTTAGATATATTTTTCTGCTCCAGTCACAAGAAGTACCCTGTCTTAACCAAGAATCTGTTATAAATGAGACTGTTGCGTGTGCATGCTACATGTATGTGAAGAGTGCATTTGTGCACACAAGGTTTTTAAAAGTTGAAGCTTGCTTTACTCCAACTACTCAGGGCAGGAAATAACAAAAATACAGAATACTGAGTTATGTTTCTTTCAAAAGCTGCTAAACATTATTGATAGTAGATTTAAGTTTCCTCCCAATTCTTAATGGAATGCAGCAGAAGAGAAGTAACCCTTTTCATTAACTCACTTGCTTTTTCGACCACTTCGAGAATCTGTAGTTGAAGAACTCAATGTCTGTGATAATGTAGAGGCCAAAGCAGATGACGAATAGCCAGCTGTGTCTCTGGATAATGAAAATTCTCTTCCAAGTTGGAAGTCGTTGTTCTTAAAGGCTTCATAACTTGCTTTTAGGCTAGACGTTCTCCTTCCTTCCTTCATCTAAAAGAAAACAGTAATAATATAAACACAGTGCACCATCATTTACAAGTATTTTAAACACCAGATTGTAACTAGTACAGCATGCAGAGTGTAAACTAGGTTGACAAAGCATGGAATTGTGTTCCCCAATTTGGAACCCTAAATCAATGGTGAGACCTCATTTGGAATACTGTGTGCAGTTCTGGTCACCACACCTTAAAAAGGATATTATAGCTTTTGAAAAAGTGCAGAAAAGGGCAACTCGAATGATAAAAGGGTTGGAACACTTTCCCTATGAGGAAAGGTTAAAGCGCTTAGGGCTCTTTAGCTTGGAGAAAAGACGACTGAGGGGTGACATGATCGAGGTTTATAAGATTATGCATGGGAAAGAGCAGGTAGAGAAAGAGGTACTTTTCTCCCTTTCTCACAATACAAGAACTCGTGGGCACTCCATGAAACTGCAGAGCAGTCGGGTTAGAACGGATAAAAGGAAGTACTTCTTCACCCAAAGAGTGATTAACACATGGAATTCACTGCCCACAGGAAGTGGTGGCGGCTACAGGCATGGACGGCTTCAAAAGGGAATTAGATAAGCAGATGGAGCAGAGGTCCATCAGTGGCTATTAGCCACAAGGTATAGATAGGGGCTCTGGGGCAAGTGATGCTTTGTCCTCTTGATGCTTGGGGGGGTCAACAGTGGGAGGGCTTCTAATGTCCTGGCCCCACTGGTGGACCTCCTGATGGCACCTGGTATTCCTGGCCACTATGTGACACAGAGTGTTGGACTGGATGGGCCTTTGGCCTGATCCAACATTGGCGTCTCTTATGTTCTCAAATGATCTCTACACCCACCATTTCCCAGAAACATTGGGTTTGATCTACACTAGCTTTTCCACTCACACAAGGCACTTCTGTCATTAGAACAGAACATTTCTGCCTCCATTCCATTGCAGCCCACTGAAATTCTGCTCTTGGGGGACCCTCAAGAACAGCATGAAAGGGTTCCGCAGCAGGAATAGGGAATTGGTGGAAATTACTCCACCCTTTTTGTTAGCAGAAAATTTTGCCTAAATCCAACCCAGTAATGAGAATATCCATGGCTCTTGCACCCCGTGCCATTTTCAGTGGGATTCTGATCTCACACATGTGAACAAGGCTGCAGTTTAAGCTTCTTTATACACTTGGAAAGTGCAGCTGGAAATTTACTATTCTTGTACTACTGGAAGAAAGGCAGGGCAAGAGATGGGGTAGAAACAGAGGTGGAGAGTGCAGGCTGCCCCCTCCATTGGCAGCTGAACTGCTTTGCTGATTCATGAAGGGAAATAAGAGGCAGAAACTACAGCTTCCACTCATAATAGGTAGGCAGTGACATCTGCCAAACCTGCTCCAGAAAGGACAGACTGAACAATTCTACTTGAGCATACTGGGAGACAAGCATGACAACCTGAGAAGGTGAAGAGGAGCACAGGAGCTGTGGCTCCATTCCACCTCACTCCATGATAGAGAAGCAATACCATCCAGCCTCCATGCCAGGGAAGCAATTTGTTTTACTAGCTGGCAGACTGAGCTATGCATCTTACCTGCCCAGCACACAAATCGTACATGTATTTGTAGGAGGAAACAAAGGCGTCAGTGATGAGAATCAGACCATCCACTCTAAGTCATGATCTGCAAAGTCTCAACATGTGTAATTTTAGCTAAAGGCACCAATTAATCCCTCTCCAGCTGCTATGAGCTCCATTAGAGGAAAAAGACAAGCAGCCCCCCCCCCCCATTCATATTTAAATAAAGCCTGAAGTAGTGGTGGTGGTAGAGTTGTGTACTGGTTCACAACCGTTTCTGATCTGAAGTCTGTTTTTATGTCCCTGGGTTTTAGTTTTTATACTGATAATATTTAATTGTAAACCACCTCGAACAGGACTGTGGAGAGGCGCCATAAAAATCTCCTAAATACATAAATATAACCAAATCCTGCCCAATGCTACTCCAGTACTCTAAGCATATTTTTCCATTTTGACTTCCAGTATTAAAGTCAGGCTGGGAAAAAATACTGAAAGCAAATTAAGGGAGGGGAAAGTATAATCTCATGAAGGTTGCGTTTTTGTTTAAAAACTGACACAACCCTCCACTTTATCATCCTAATAAAAGTAGGATATGTTCACTGATATGTTAATTAAAATCTTTCTGTGCCTGCTACACAAGTGAGAATTTCTGTTAGCTATAGAATGGGATCCCCCCCATCTGCCTGTAATACAGCAGTTGAGAATTCTACCACAGCTTGGTGGAGAGAACAGGTGGTTATACCTTGAAAACACATTTCCACTGAATCCAATGGAAATGATTATTGATTTCTGAATATGACTAGCTTTAACTCCAATATAAAGAACCCAACACTAATGTTTGAAATCATAAAGGACCTGAATCATACTTTTTCTTTTTTTGCATACCCCTATACTTATAATTCAGTTGCTAACTCACCAAAACCTACTTTTCTTTAGGCTCTGGCTGCAATCAAGTGCCACAGAGTTTCAGCATATAAGAAAGCATATCAGTGAAAATCTAAGGCTGCATGCCCATGCATTCTTTATGTGGAGAAAGTCCTGCCGAAGATGGTGGGGCTGCTAAGTGCACAAGTATTAGAGAAGATGACAGTAATTTTAAACCACTAAAAACAATCCAAATTGAACGAAAGATGTTCCCTTCCTAATGCAGACATCTGGTGACAGGTACTTAAAAACATAGCTTAAATTCCTTACCTGTGCCGTAGCTTGCACTGCCTGAGCTGCTGCCATGGTAATAGCACCAGCTCCAGCTCCTGAAGATAATGAGCCCAGGTTATACGATGCCAATGGCTGAGAAGAATTTGCATTATATGCACTGTTGGATGAGGATGATGAATTACTGTTTCGACACCCTTGATGAACAAAGGGAACATATTTATATAGTCCAAAGTGAAAACTGAAAGTAGATCTAGATTTCAAAAAGCTGAAAACCAGTGGTATCTACTAATGAAATCGAAGGCTGCAATTAAGTAATAAGGTACAATGTTTTGGGAGAATCCTTGGCACTGCTTTCTCCAGAAATGTTTACCAATTTGTTTACTTTTTCTCTCCAGGAATAAACTAATAATGTTGTGAGGAACCAGAGCGACTCACCTCACATCAGTAAGTCATTAAATATGATACAAACAACAATCATTTTAATGAAGATGATAAACTATAAATACATGCCCAGAAAAGTGCACCGACTTGAAAACTAAATTCATACCAGTGGAATTACCATAGAAAATGAGCCAAGACAATAATCATAAACTACCTGAATGTTTTTGCACAATTAAAAAAAAAATCTCCACTAGATTATACATCTGATTTGTTTGTAGATCAAGTCCCTCGCACTTTCTAGAGTATGCAAGTCAAAGCAGTGTAATGATGAATATCTTAGAAAGAAAATGCATAACTTTTGAAAGTTTTAAAAAACATGCTTCAAAATATTTTGTGCTTCTGAACAACAACAAAAATCAGAAATCTGCCATAAAGAGACAACCTGGCCTGGAGTACCTCAGTCATTCACTATACTATACCACATATGGATAAGTCGGGTACCAAAAAGAGCCCAGGGAGATATTTTTGTAAATTGGTCACTGAAGTGGAGAAGAAACTCTTGCTTTAAAAGATCCCCCTGCAATCTACAAAGAGCTGCAGTGATCAAAAACAGAGAATGCAGGTTACCTTCATGTTACCTATAAGAGAACCCTGGCAGCACAAGGAATATACTATGGACACAAGCTCTTAATCAGTGTGAACCAGTATGGTGTAGTAGCTAAGAGTGTCAAACAAGGAACTCTGGGATCCACTCTGCCATGGAAGCTGGCTGGGTGACCTTGGGTCAATCACACACACTCAGCCTAACCTACTTCATAGGGTTCTTGTTGTTGTGCGGATAAAATAGAGAATTATGTAAGCTACCCTGGGTCCCCATTGGGGAGAAAGATAGGGTATCAATAAAGTACATATATAAATAACTCAGTGCACATTAGCAGGTTGAAAGGAAGCAAGGAGCCTAAAAGAAGAGGATGGAGGGCTGGTTTTAGGATACATTTACCCAATCCAGATTTTCCTACCCACAGGAACCTTTAGAAAGCAAAGGGGAACGTCACAATTTACAAATTAAACAACTGGCTGTGGAAGAAAAATGCATCTCCCAAGACCAATTCATACCTTTGCTAACATTATGCTTTGAACTCCAAAGCCTACTCATAGTGTAAAGAAGACTGGGGATGTACCTCTTCCGAGGTCTATTTCCTTCTCCACAAAAATGCCACTGCTTTTTCTTTAGAGACAGGAAACACAGCAATGTCAACATATGAACTAATGTTCAGAAACTGTCTGGTCATTAGTCAGCACTTGTACTTATGAATAAAACACACTATCCTCCGAAAGTCCAAATAGCTAGTGAGATGGCCTCCTCCCCAAGTTTAATATGTTCCACCAGCTGAATTTCAGACAGATCTAGCCTTAGCTGTTGTGTTTATGTTGTCCATGTCTCTAAATTTTTAACTGTAATCCTTGTGTCTCTAAATTTTTGAGGGGAAAAACCTGTGCTGCCTTTCTTCCAAGAAGAATCCTATAACTGAATATAGGAAGACTATTGTTTAATCCTCACTTTTGAAATTTTAATTACCTGTTGCATTTTCTTTGGAGGCATCTGAAGTGAGAGTTGATAGAAGGGCTTCAGACTTAAACTTCTTTTCAGGAACGTGGTCTGCTGTTGCATGGTGGGATGAGGGATTATGCTTCCTTTCTAGATTTAGATGTGGAAATATTATTGATACAAATGAATACTGGAGATTCATAAATGCAAAAGACTTAATTGATTACAGAGGAACAAAAACAGAACAGCTTACGTCCACTATGGAAAGAACCATAATGTTCCACTCCAGAGATTATTTTCAAGAAACTACATATCAAATTTTGGTGGTGGTTTAAGGAGAGACAGGTTGCTCATATGACTGCTGGTTCACAAGGAGAATTCTCTCTAGTTCGTTTTTTTTTTTTTACTTGAATCAACAACAGAAGCTAAAATGTTCAACTTACTTTCTACCGAAGTGTGTGAATGAGCATGATGATTATTCAGTGGTTGTGATGGTGTATCCAGTTCCAAAGAACCTATGGAAACAAGAGTTTGCAAGAGTGAAATATAGCAGTGACAATCTCAAAAACTGCAGTTTCATATGCCTATGCAATTCTTTAAAACTGCATTTTATTCAAATCTCTAGAAGACTATCTGAGCAGCAACAAGTTCTCTTAAACCAAAGGTGTCAAACTCATTTGTTATGCGGGCCAGATCAGACATAAATGTCACTCTGTTGGGCTGGGCCATCTGTGTCATAAAATGTAATGCTGGGTATTGGAGATATAAGTTTTATAAATGACACAGGCAAATCCAATTAATGATATTATTTGTACTCTTTTCCCCTCAGAGTGGCACGCACAAGACAGCCCAGTTGCCTCCCAATCAATGTGCCCGCCCTCCTCCTCCTCCTCTCCCCTGCTGGCCCCATCCCTTTGTCAGCAAACCGCACACCAACTTTCACCACCTACCCTCAGGTTCACAATTTAGTGCAGTGGTAACAATGCCAACTGCTTGGCTCTGCCCCCATGCAGTGGGTTCACCAATCCTCGCTGAACTGTGGTTGGGGGAGGGGGAAACACGCCTCCTCCTCCTCTGCCTTCACTGCCATTCCCCCACACTATTTTACCTCAGCCTCTTAGCCCCACCCCCAGTCATTCCCTTTCTATTTCTTGACAGCTTCAACCACACACACCTCACCATGTGTGCCTGTTCACCCTCCTCCTGAGCAGCCTCCTGCCTTCCTTCCCTTGCAGCAGTTGCTTGTGGGCCTGATAAGAGCCCTGGACGGGCTGGTTCCGGCCCCTAGGCTGTATGCTTGACATCCCTGTCTTAAACTAAGCAGGAATTTATCTGTACTATGTTCTGGTTTCTTATTTCCCTGAATTAAAAGTAAAGGTAGTGTAAGTCATGCAAAGAATTGTTAAAGATATGAATTAGTGGAGAAGCAACAGGTATTAAAGGCTTGTCTGTAATAGAATCAAAGACCATTTTTATTCTCCGCGCACAGTTCCTTCACAAGACATGAATGGTTTCTAATCAGGCTTAAAATTGGAATCTTGTGACAAATCTCTCTTTATTTTTATTACACCTGGATTTATTTTCAGCTTTCTGCTTATATTTTGGAGTACACAACTCTGCAGTTACATACTTAATTTAAAATGTATCTGAGTTATAGTAATATTATTCCCTCATCCATTTTAGCCTCACAGCAAACAACTATCAGAGGTAGGTTAGGGCTAAGAGCATGTCACTGGCCTAAGGTCATCCAGCAAGCTTCCATAGCCGGGGTGTGTGTGTGTGTGTGTTTGAATCTGGATTTCCCAGATCCTAGTTCAGCACTCTAACCACTATACAGCACTGTCTCTTTAAGCAACAAGCTTCTATACAACTTCTATTTTTAAAAAATCCAAAGCTGTCAGCACACTTCACAGAAGTAAACTCCATAAAAATCAACAGAACCCATTTTCATGTACTGGGTTGTGGATTAAGATTGAAGAAATATAAGGGATAAACACAAAGTGGTACTTATTCTCATTTTTAGAATGACAGTTTGATATTATTTAAGTGGATAATATTTACGAAGGCGTTTTGCACAAAACAAGAAGACTACCTATATTTACAAGTAAATAATGAAAATGTAAAACAGGCTTCACACACACACAGAGACAGACGGCGAGAGAGAGAGATGTCTCTACTTATTAAAATGCTAAACCCCAAGATATCAAGCATACTAGTATCTGCAACTTAAAGGAATACATTAGAACAACTATTTTTTTGATTATTCTGCCAAAGAACCACTTTACAGGGACTAGAAAAAAACCACACATACTTACGTCTTTCCAGTATTTCTGTAATCCCAGCATTATCTGCCTCAAGTTCCATTTTAAATTTAGCTAATTCCTGGTCCAATTTTCTTAAATGACGATCTACCTGATTTAAGAACATAAAAGAAATTCAAGCTAGTTTGCAGCCAGACAGAGACTCAAAACACTAGTATGGATCCAACCAGCTTTTTCGCCAGTGAAAAAGGCAAGTTAGGTCACCTCTGAACTCCCAAAGAGGAACACAGGATCTTCACGGACAAAAGCCATGTCATCAAATGGGGTCTGTATAGGGATGCCAGCCTCCAGGTGGGACCTGGGGATCCCCTGGGATTACAGCTCATCTCCAGACTACAGAGATCAGTTCCCCTGGAGAAAATGGCTATGTTGGAGGGTGGACTCTATGGCATTATACCACACTGAGGTCCCTTCCCTCACTAAACCCCATCCTCCCCAGGTTCCACCCTCAATTGTCCAGAAATTTCCCAACTTGGAACTGGCAACTCTAGGTTTGTAACAGGGAGGAGAACTGGGCAAGTCTAAGTGAAAATGCTGGCCAGATCTCATCCACTGGGAACAGGACATTGAAGTCATACTGTTCCCTTGTTAGCCTCCTCCACAAGCAACTGGTATTCATTTAGCCATTTTAGCATTTGCTAAAATGGCTAAAGTTCCATTTAGCCATTTTAGCAAATAGACATAATAATTTTCCACTGTAATTTATAAATTCTCTAAACTGGTGGCCATCATTACACCTTCTGGAAATGAATTCCCTCACTTAATTATGTACTGTACAAAGAAACATGATTTTGTCTGTCTTGACTTTTTTATAATGAAAACATCACACTGAAAAATTGTAATTATAATCAAGTGGTTAATTATACTGCACAGATTAAATCTAGCTGAATGAATTGAAACCATTATGCTTAATATGAATGGTTGCAAACTACAGCTGCAATAAAGAACTCACCAGTATACAACTACTTTCACATCCCCATGTCAGCTTTGGACTCATTCAATGAAAAACAAGTTTCATTTTCACCTGCCCCTGCCCGAACACAAACTGCTTTTAAAGTGAGAAACTTGCTAAAAGCAGTTTGCTGGCATGGCATACATGTTTGATGTTACAAATCAAAGAAGTCAGATCGCACTGGGAGCACTAAGGCCTTGAGCCAGGCTCAAGTAGTTTTTTGAACATCAGCGCACAATTTTATGATGGACTGGAGCACTAAAAGTATAATTCCATGCATGTCTAGTCAGAAGGCCCACTTTATTCAGTGGGTCTTACTCCCAGTTTAGTAGGCCTGGGATCACAGTCGTAATCCTAGCACATTTACTTGGAAGTAAGCATCACTGTTTTCAGCAGGACTTACTTTTGAGTAAATATACATAGGGTCTGGTTCTAGCATGTGTTGATCTTTTAACTGTTTACAAAAGTCCATAAAAGATCACAATTGTGCCTACAGACCAGTTAACAAAGAATCGAAAACAGAAAATTTAAGTAGTTACAATGAGTACAGATCCCATATTTGTTGTATGTTAGTCTTTTTCTCTTTGTAGTTGTGGTCGTCTTTTCTTTCACTTTTGAAAAATTAATAACTTAAAAAAACAAACAGAAAAACTGATTATCAGTTACACTTCACATATACACCAAAATGTCAGATGTCGAAACAAATATTAATGGCTTTAAAGTAAACTACAGCCCAGTATATATCAAGTATAAGTTCTATTTTACTTACTAAATCATAAATTTGATTGGCCAACTGTACTTTTTCATCAGCATCTTCCAGGGCTTTGTAATAATCCTGAACCGGAATAATAAGAGTAAAATGTCTTCAGAAATAATTTATAATAATTATTACAAATTTTGGCTAACATTTTAACATCAATACTTTATTAAAAACCCTCAATGAAAGCATAAGTTCATAGGAAAAATTATTTGTAAGAATTGACCTTATATTCATCCACCTCTTTTTGCATTCTCTTAGTTTATACTGTGATAATGCTGTACAAATTAAATATCATACACTATTCAGAGCAATGTTCTATATTTCAAGTTCAAAGTTCAGCTTGATTCGTGTACCCTGTTTCCAAAGAACGGGGGGAAATTCAATATATAGTGCAGTACGATATCTTCCTTGAAGACTGAGAATTTAGAATAGAAGACAATGTGTCCATGCAGGACAACATTCCAAGTGTGAAGCCTTAAGGTAAGGGAGGGAATCAGGCAAAAAATGCAGGGAGTTATCTTTGTTTCCCTCCTTTCCTCTGTTATTTTTTCCTGGTGTGTTCAAGCAGAGTCTTCCAAGAAAGAAAATTGCAAGTTATGCTTTAAAACCTAAGCAATACTTCCACATGAGTTGTGTCCTTTTCTTCTGTGGGGGGCATTCCTTTGTTATACAACACATTCCTCCAGCATTACATGCTTCCGCACATGCTAAGGAATAATCTTGAAATAAACTGAACAGTTCTTAGCATTAGAGGAGCACTTTCCATAGCAGAGGACTGCCCTTGCAACAGATGAAGTGCAGCACAAACAAAACAAGGGATCAAAGTCTATGGTCTTATGGAAGGGGGACCAGTTTTGGGTGCTTTCATAAGGCTGCCAAATGCCTGCTTCTGGGAGGGAATCCCCTGCCTTCCCTCCAATCCTAACCTCTTGGGCCAGAGGGAGAAACAGCAAGGGGCAGAAGTAACATTGGGCTACATGCCGACATTATATCAGGGGGGAAAGAAAACAGACATGACATCAGATGAAGCTCGAGCAACTATAGGGTTTATACCAGAATTTCTATAGCACTGGCCAACACACTGAGATGTCAGAACACAGCCCAACGTTATTTCCACCCCTTACCCTACTACCCCTGAAGCTCCTGGGGATGACAGGCTACTGCCTGGCATCCTTCCTCCCACACTACTCAGGTGAGATAGTTTTCATGAGAAGCTTTTCCTCAAGTTAGCTGCAGGCAGGGGTCATTTCGTAGAAAAAGAGGTGCAGGAGCTCATTAGCATAACTTATTTGCATATGTCACACCCCCTGACATCACCGGAAGTGTGTCAGAAGGCAACACCCACCGCTCAGGCTCCACTGGACTGTTTTGGATTGCTAGCTATTGGGGAAGGGGAACATGCAGATCTGCCCTAGCAGAGGAGGGAGAGCTTGTACCTGAATAAAACTTGGTCTTAAAGGTGCCACTGGACTGTTTTGGATTGCTAGCTATGGGGGAGGGACACAGATCTGCCCTCACAGAGGAGGGAGAGCTTGTACCTGAATAAACCTTACGTAAGAACATAAGAGAAGTCAATATTGGCTCAGGCCAATGGCCCATCTAGTCCAACACTCTGTCACACAGTGGCCAAAAATACCAGGTGCCATCAGGAGGTGTACCAGCTGGGCCAGGACACTAGAAGCCCTCCCACTGTTGCCCGCCCCCCCAAGCACCAAGAATACAGGGCATCACTTGCCCCAGCCTGAGAGTCCCTATCACACACACACACACACATATGCAGATCTGCCCTCACAGAGGGAGAGCTTGTACTGAATAAACCTTGGCCTTAAAGGTACCACTGGACTGTTTCCGACTGCTAGGGGGGGCGGCCTTCCAGCAGCCCGGCTGGCGATGACAAAGGGGGAAGGCAGGCGGCCTTCCAGCAGCACATGCATGGAGGCGCGGGCCAGCAATGGCGAGGAGGGGGCGACCTTCCAGCGGCCCGTGCGCAGAGGCACGGGCCGGCAATGGCAAGGGGGGATGGCGGGCGCCCTTCCAGTGGCCTGTGCGCGGAGGCACAGGCCAGCGATGGCATGGGGGGAAGGTGGGCGGCTTTCCAGTGGCCCGTGTGTGGAGATGCGGGCTGGCGATGGCGAGGCGGGCGGCCTTCCAGCAGCCCATGCGTGAAGGTGCGGGCCAGCGATGGTGAGGGGGGGGAGGCGCAGGCCCCTTCACCTCAGGAGTTAGGTCTTTACCTGCGGAGTGCCTACCATCTGTCCCAATCTCCCTCCTCATACCCGGCCATTGCAGGGGGCGGGGCTTCTTCGACACCAACAATAGCCACCAGAGAGGGGGTGCCGGTAGGTTGTCCCACCCCCCTTCATACACTGTGGCCCTAGCTAGGGAACAAGGGTGATTAGCACCAGAAAACCCTGTAAGCCACTCTGAGACCCTAACCATGGGACAAGAGCGGGATATCAAGTCGAATGTAAATAAATAAATAAATAAATAAATATGCCTGCCCCCTCGGCTCCTCACTACTGTTGAGCCACTCCTCCACGCTCCGGCCCCAACCGACCCCTGGCTGCAGGTATATTGTCAGAACTGATTCAGAGTCTGTGACTTGGGTGGGTGGGTGGTGATGGTATTTGACTAGTTTTTGCCTTACTCTTACCTTTTTAATTGAAGTCATTTGTTCTTCTCTCCATTCTGGTTTGTTTTTCTTTGCATTCATAAAAAATTCATTTACTCTTTGCTCCAGTTGATCCATTGCATCTTAAACACACACAGAACATCACAGTATATTTATTTATCTGCCACACATTGTGGGTAAATATATCTGCAGGCACATTTATTAGTAAAATTAATACCATGAACAGTCATGAAATACAAACTACTATAGACGTGAACAGCACTCGCTCCCAAATAGTTTCACTAAAAAAAACACCCAACTTATTTCTAAGTAATATGTTTAGGATTGACATGCCTTTCTTTAAAATCAACATCCATCTTTAGATTCTGTAACTACTGACTTTACTACATAAAGGAAGAAGACAAATGAATGTATCAGCAGAACATAATTAAGACTGTGGCCCTACACAGACTAACTTGGAAGTAGTTCCCATAAAGCACACTGTCAGTGTGATCCTAAAAACTCGTTTCTGGGAGTAAGCCCCATTGAATTGGCCTGAGTAGGATTCTAAGTAGATCTGCTTAGGATTGCTCTCTGGGATAACATATGACCCATCAGGCTGCATATTCCATTAAGATGAAGCAAAGTTTATCAGTTGTGGTACATTTACACAAATTCAGTCATACAGACTACTCAATGAACAAGGAAAGATGCCCCCACCAGTGCTCAATACAGCGAAAAAATATAGAAGCTAAAATCCAAAAATTGCTTTTTCAGGAACAGGCTCCTGGATGTCCTCATCGAAAGTGCTGCAGGACAGTTTTGGTCTGAAGTATAAATATTTAACACTAATATTTTTCTTCCTTATTTTCCTTATTTTACTTGCCAATATATAAACATTTACATTTCTTAAAATCCAAAATTTGAGATTATGTTGACACCTGAAGCCTTACCAATTAATTTTTTTAAGCTTCTTAAGTCATATCAGTATAACATGGGATTAAACCCTGAAGTTATGGTGCTGCAAAGGGAATGAATGAAAATGACTTTTTAAGGTTTCCCAGAGGATTATTCACTTGCAGGAAACTGAGGGTACAAATATTATTTGGAAATAAATCTCACAGAAACTAAAAGAACTTATTTACAAGAAGTATACTCAGAATATTTCCTTATGCACATAATGAAGTTAAATACAGCTAAGCAAAGCAGGCTACTGGTAGTGTTTTGAGTATTCCATGAAGAATTAGGGATGCCAAGTCCCCCCGGGGGGCGGGGAAACCCCCGCCCGGGAGGCCTGTTCCCCGCCGCCGCCGGATTGGGCCCCCGGGGGAACCCCACCCCCAAAGCACGTCACACGGAAGTGACGCAAGCACGTCGGGGACGTTGGGGGCAGGGCCACAATAATCTGAGGAAAAACTCTATGGTTTTCCCTCAGATGATTGTGGCCCCGCCTCCAACGTGCTTGCGTCACTTCCGTGTGACGTACTTGTGGCGTGTGCGCGCTTTGCGCGCGCGCAAAGACTCCCAGAGCAAGGCTGGACTCCCCCGCTCCGGAACAGGTAAGCACTTGGTAGCCCTATGAAGAATTCCATGAGAATTCCAATAAAGTGTACTTACTCCTCTGAACAAAGTGAGTCTACACTAATGTCTTTTTATCAGGAGGGTATCCCAATGTCCCTTAAGAAGAGATTTATTAAATAACATAGAAACAAAATGACTTTTAATACAACCCTAATCTTGAATTAAAGGCTGCAATCTCATGCATGCTTAATACAGGGAACATATTCAGTATTGAAAAACTCTGTAATGTTGATATTGTTTTGTCACACAATATAGGTTTTACTGTCTTTCTTTAGGAACTAAGCTATAAAGGTGCTTTTAAGCAAGGAAGTTCAGCCTTACTGAGTTTATGAGCTCTCAAATTCTTTGTACTTGTTTACCCTACATGCACCATTGTGCCATACAGTAGATTCAGGCAGATCAGGCCTACCACTTTTTTCATTTAGAAAAAATAGTTTGCCCTAGCAAACAGCTACATGAAAGGATAATCATTTAACTAGCACATCAAAATAGTCCCTGGGACAGATATTTCATAGACCAAATTCTTGTTTTGCCACTTGATGAATTCTTCATTGCTCTGGAATAGCCAGATATACCCATAAAATCGAGAGACTACTGCCAGGTCCTTCTGTTTCCTAGACTGTTTTTCAGACCTGTATATTACTGTAAGATGGTTACTGGGTCCGTTCTCTGTGACGATGAGCAAGTTCTGCCTATTTATAGCTGTGTGTAGTGATGTTATGGAGACATTTCTCCCTGTAGTTCATAGTTTCAGTTCTTCTGTGAGAACCCTACTCATCATTCTACAGGCTCTTTTCTGCTTCTATCTGTTAAATCTATCTGTTAAATCTACAAATTTTCCCCATCCTATTTTTGGCCCTTCACCATTTCTTCTCCATTGTACTTATAATACAGGGTGGCCAGGATTTAAGAGTATTTCCAAAGGAAAGAACATGGTCAGGGAAGGAGTCTGACTACAGAAGCTGAGCTGAAGGAGTAGTTCTGCTGCTGGGACAGAGCCCATCGGATCCTAGAAAGTCTGGCAGTAGTTTGCAAATCTTTTAATAACGATAAGACTGTGCTGCTTCAAATACGGATATGGTTCTCTTGATTCCTATTCTGGTTTGCCTATTTCATGTCATGAATCCATTGTTCACCTGCCACAATTTGTCCTTTTCTGCAGATGTTTGTGCTGGAATATGTACATTTAAAAAAGGAAAAAAAGAACACCAGTGTATGAAGACCTGTGTAAAAAATGTGTCCACATGTATAACTGTGACTCTGCTGCATGAGTCCTTATGTCTCTATGAAAATCTATGTGACTGTACATGTCTGTGAAAGAAAGCATGCTTGTTGTTACATGTTAGAAAACAGACTATTTCTAGGGTTTTTTGCAGGAATACAGATACCTTGGTAGCATGAACATGCAACAAAACGCAACAGTGGGTGTAGAGTTTTTTTGTTTTGTTTGGCATCCTGCCCCATCCTCCCCCCCCCCCCCAATGCAAGGGTTTCTTGACATGGTCTTTCTTCCCTGGTTTTGGTGTTATGTGTTTTTATTGAATCATTTTGTAATTTTAATTTTTTTAAGTTGTTCAAACATTTTAATGCTTTTACATACACCACCTTGTATACCCTGATGAAGTGGAAGGACAGCATGAAAAATGTTTTAAATAAGTAAAAATAAACAAACAGAACATTCAAATACTCCCCTGCTTAGGCTTGTGTGGAACGTGGGTACTTAAAGCATGTTCATACATACATGAAAATATTCCCCTGCCTAGGCTTGTGTGGAAAGTGGGTACTTAAAGCATGTATGTGTGCATTACAGACACACGTGTAATACTTTACTCTTTCAGTAATAAACCCTACATCCCAGAATCAGGAATCATTACTTGGATATTATTTCCTGACTAAGGTACATCCAATGTAAACACTCTTCGATTTATATTGTAAAAAAGGTCACTGACAGTGCAATCCTAAAGGTAACCTCAGTGCAATCTTGAAATTAAGTGCCTTTAAGTAGACTTGAGTAGAATTCTGAGTAGATCACCTTGGGATTGCTCTCTCAGTAGAATGCCAAATTGTGCTACTCACAGAGTTGCTTCAGTCTAAAACCTCTGATTTTGGACTGCAGCAACTCTGGATAGGACTGCACTGTATGACAAGAAATCTCACATCGATCATACTGCAAAGTATCAACGCTAACATCTTGTAGGTCTCTGGGGAGGTGGCATGGACACTTCCTAAACACACACACACACACCTTTATTGGCATGAATCCTAAACAAGAAACATATTTACTTGGAAACAGACACATTACTGAATTCAACGGACCCAACATGGTGCCACGCGTAACTGCTGTAAATTATAAATGTTACCCCCCACCTGGCAATGATAAATGTATTAAAATAATAAACATCATCTTTACTACCGCCTACTTTACTCAAGAGAGAGTGTTATGGGACTTTCTCTTATCCTGCTTAGGACACAGCCGAAAAGCTCCAGCACTGGGAACTTTGTAAAAGTGGCTGTCTCCATCGTTCAGGCGAATCCCTGACAGACGATCGTTCCAGCCTCCTCTCCTCCCCTCCCCAGCTGAGCGGCGCGTGAGCCGAGGCGCCCTGTGGGCGGGGCGGACTCACGTACTCTGCACCTGCAGGTCCATCTCGCGCATCTCGGTAAACCTGTCGCGGAGATCCATGGGAAGTTGTTCGATCACTGCAGGGAGGGGGGAGGAGAAAAGGAGCGAGTCAGTCAGATATGGCGGCCGCCGTGAAAAAGGGAGGGGGAGGGGAGGAGCTTCCGCCTCGCTCTCTCGCCGCTCCCCCTCCCCTTCAGGCCTGGGGCCCCCCGCCGCGCTCCCCACACAAGACTCACTCTCGAGGTAGTCCTCCAGGTACAGCATGGCGACGGCGAGGCCCGCGCTCGGCGGGGCTCCGTTGTCCTTACAACGATCGAGGAGAAGGGAGGGGGGGTTGGGTGGTTTCGAAAAAAAAACACCGCCTCGTCCCTTCCAATATGGCGCCGGCACCGCCAACAACACCAGCAGCTCAACTCAGCGAAAACAACATTGGCGGCTGACGGCTCTCGCTTCGGCCGCCAAGCGATTGGCTGCCTGGGCTTCTGACGTAATTGGCGGCTCGCGCCCTCCTGCTGCCTTTTGGGAAATGGAGTTCCTTGGGCCAAGTAACAGACGCAGGAACTACGTATCCCACCATGCCTTGTTCAGGAGCGATGGAGGTGCAGCCGTGTTTGTTTGTAGCGGGGAGCTAAGAATTGTGCGCATGTTGAGGGTGCTGATTTGGGAACTCTAAAGTCCGGGAGGACAGCTTCCAGATACTCCTGCGAAGTTCTCTAAACACTGTCTAAACTTCCGAGACAGTTACAAAAATCAGTAAACAACAGATTAAAGTGGAATGTCAAATCTTGGGGATAGAATGGCTTGAGATTGAATTGGGAGGAGATCGAAATCTAGTTCTATCAAGTGGAAAATGGTAGTGTAAACTCTAGAGTGATTAGGAAACCCAAAGGAGTGCTACTTGTGCTTCTGTTCCAAATCTGTTTCTGTGTTTGTGCTGGCAGCGTTTGCCCTTATGACTTCACTCCATCATCACCAGTATCAACACACGTTTGCTCTCTGAAATTCATTCTGCTGTTTTTCTCTTCCTCTCTGTCTTTTTAGGTACAGACACTTTGTCACCTTTCTCTGTCCAAACATTGCTCTTTGAGGTGCTGTTCTACAAATGTCTTTGTATAACCCACTAAGGTCCTAATATCTGCAGGGAAAGTGGGCAGGTTCAGTCTGTTTTGACAGCGGAACTCCCACCTATGGTTATTAAGAGTGTGTAACTGCTGCAACTACATGTACACTTAAACACAGACATAAGAGAGGCAATACAACCAATGCACTTTAACATTTAAAATAAACTCTATATATAAACAAAGCATGGAGGGTTTCATAAGAATCCTCATTCATTCCTGGTTGGTTGCTATTACTTCATAGCAATGGATCTTAAGGATAATACTGGTTACAGATATCTTCAACATCCACAGAGATGCACAGAACAGAAAAAAACCTGAGCACATAGATAATGCATTTATTTATTTATTTAATTTATACCCCGCGGGCTCAGGGCGGCTTACATAGGCACAAAAGTGCGATAAAAATACAAGAAGTTAAAACAAAAAACATAAGTTGTAAGTCCAGGTTAAAGCTCACAGATACTGGAATAGCATATGAGGTCTCCAAGGTGTACTTGGGAGGCTGCAGCTCTTCTCAGTTGGATCCAGCATTTACCTGCAATAATTCAAACAGGCCTTAAAACAGCAAAATCTATGCAGGCCTTTCCCCACCCTTCTGATGCTGTTGCCTCTTCCTGGGCCAGGCTGAACTACTTGGTTGCATTAACAAACAGAATACTAAAGAAGATGTATTGCAACAGTTTTTAAAAGATCAATAACTATAAAATTACATATTTTCACAATTATATGAAATTACTATTAAGAATCTTAATAGTCCCAAACCAACATTTAATAACTTTCCAAGAAATAAATTCACCTTTGTTTGAAAGGATCTCTAGTAATTACATTGGTTAACAGCATTTACCTGCAATAATTCAAAGCAGGCCGTAAAACAGCAAAATCTATGCAGGCCTTTCCCCACCCTTCTGATGCTGTTGCCTCTTCCTGGGCCAGGCTGAACTGCTGGCTGCTGGGAATAACCAGACCCCTTTAGGGAAGGCTACAAACACTGAGCATGCTCCATTAACTAAGTATAGGAGGGGGGAAGGGGAGTTAATTGCCACACCACCTATTGGCAAATGCAGGCATGCCTGATCCCTGTATGCTATTAACAGCTACAAAACTGCATGGGTTACATTTGATTAAGGAGCACTTCAAGCTAAGAAAATACAGATTTTTGATGTTGAAAAGAGTCATATTGTGTGCTAATGTACTACAAAATAGTGAACACACTTTTGTAACTTGGCATGATTTATACCGTAATAGCTGCTCACCAAGAAGACTTTAATTACTGACAGTTCTGAGAAGTCAGTAAAGTTTAATGCCAGCTATGTCCCTGAATGAGATGTGAAATCATATAACCTGATCTTGTAAGATTTTGGAAACTAAGCCGGGTATAAGTACTTGGGTAGGAGGCCACCAAGGAAGACTTTGCAGAGGAAGTCAATGGCAAACCATTGCTGCTCTTAATTAGTTGCCTTGAAAACCCTGTGGGATCTCCTTAAGCTGGCTGTGACTTGATGGCACTTTATGCACACAAATGAATCTGAGTGGGAAATTCTAATGTTCTTGCATTTTGCTGGCAGCTGCTGTATGCAGTGATCCTGCTGTTTGACAGAGTGTTTAGCAAGAGGGCCATCTTAGTTTTCACTACCAATAATCTAATGTTTCAAAGCAAGTGGCCTTTTAAGCAGTCTGTATATAAGTTATAACTAAAAGTAACAGCACATTTTAAAAGAATCTTCGGAGGGTGGGTTATGTGCCTTGTTGAAGCAAAGCAAACTATAGGAGAACAGTGCTGTATATTTCAGTTGCTGTGGGAAACCCTGGCATGTGCTGCAGCTGAATCCTAAAAGAGGGATACAGTACATTAATGTGCACAGATCTTTGAAACCCATGAACATGCACCTGAGAAATGTGATTAAGTCATGTGGAGGTGGAAAGTGCCCACAAGTTGCTGCCAAATTATGGCAACCCCATAGGGTTTTCAAGGCAAGAGATGAACAGAGGTGGTTTGCCATTGCCTGCCTCTGTGTAGCAACTTTTGACTCCTTTGGTGGTTTCCCATACAGCTACTAACCAGGGCTGGCCCTGCTTAGCTTCTGAGACCTGGAGAGATCGTGCTAGCTGGGCCACTTAGGTCATGGCAAGTCATGGGTGTTAGCCAAATTGCCTTTAATTATTAATTAGTCTAGGTGAAGTAATGATTGTTAATTGGCAATAGGCAAATGCAGGTTCCCACCAGTGTATACAGAAGTCCCACCTTTGCTGTAAGTATCTGAACAGACACAGAGACTGGATCTAGTGAAATATAATGTCTCTTTACTGGGAGATATATATCATTCAAACAATACACAAACACACACACATTTATACATATGCTAGGAAATAAAGATAGATTCTTAACACAGTTGCTTTAGCAGGATATTCGTTGGTTGGGCAATATTTACCTGTCTTCATTAGTTGAGCCGTTCCAATGGAAGAATGGAGGGGTTTAGAAATAGAAAATGGTGAACACGTGCTCTGAACCAGCAGAACCACGTGGACTCTAGCTGCAGACTAGAGGTTAAAGATGGAGGTAGGGTATGTGGATAGCAAGCTGGACATAAGAGGATTAAAGCTTCAATAGGGGTCGTGGAGAGGGTAAGTAAGAGAGAGACCATGTGCTCGGGCAGTATCTTTTATAACATGGTGTGGGGGCTGGCTAGGCTGGCCACATCCCCCTGTGACACTTCCTGTAACTCCGTCCCATAAAACATACTATTGGCTGGCTGGAAGAGGGGAGGGGGGCTAAGGAGTGGTCAATATTGAGAGCTAGAAACTTGATCTGGGGACTGGCACCTGGATGAAGGATGATTGAATCATGAAGGCTGAATGAATCACCAGGCTAGGGAGGCTAGGGCTATTGTCTCTTGATGGCCCTAGCCAGCTTGCTGATGGGTGAGCAATTAGTTGCTATTCAACCATGAATAGAGTCTCTTGATTAGATTTGTAGGTAGCTGGAAGAGGGGGGAGAGAGGTTGCCTACATATGCTGGAAGAAACTCCTAATGGCGTATGGAGTTCTCATGTTTTCCATGGCATGGCATCTAAGGCTTTGTGCTGGCTTATGGAACTGCTTCATCTCATAGCAGGTAAGATGGCTGATGACTCTGGACTATCACTGTGGCAGCAACACTAAAGGAAGGTGTCCCTCTTTCAGGTGTGCAGTCTCAACAGGTATTCTCAGGTCTCCATATTGTACAGTCCCTTTGCACAGTTCATATTCCATAAAAACACATTGATAGGCTTGCATGGCAACATGGGTACCTGTGTATTTAAAAACAAGTGCATATGCAGGTACTGGTTTTGCACACAACAGTTTTGCTGCAAAAAGCTCACACTATTGTCACATTAGTGTTTCCCTCTGCAATTATGGTATGTAGTGCTGTCCTGATTCAGGTGTTGGAATACCACACTTGAAAGGAAGCTTAATCTTGAGTTGTGTTAGGTTATTCTTCAAGTCAAGTCATGCATTTTAAAAATGTGAGAGAAAAATCTTCAAGCTCTTATGCTGCTGCCTGTCTTTTTTTTTTCCAGGCCTTCTCTCGTTTTCTGTGTGAGATTCTGATGTGAGATTCCTGCGTTGTATGCCTGTGAGGGAAAGAAGTAGTAGTTGCTTTGCCAGCAGGCCTCAAAAGGTAGAGTGAGTTTAGAGGGGGATCTTGAGAAGTACAGGGCATTTAGAAGTAGGTTCCACTTGAAAAAAATTGAGAAACCCTGGTGTCTAGGGCTACATATGCATGTACTATCAGGCCAGACTGGTTTAGCAGTATGTCTATTTGTGCATTTGTCTGAGTAAACATCTATATTTTTGTTTCCTTGGATGAGGTTGTTAATAGTTCAGAGGTGCATCATGAGCTCATTTGGATGTGGTATGATCCAGCAAGGCTATTCTTAGCTGTTAGGGCAAGAAACCAATCCTACTGGTGTGAGCAGAGGACTGTCCCAGGCCCAAACATTCCTACCTTTCAACAAGACTCTGCTTGTAATCTGCTGTGCATTTTGCTACTGAACCAGAAGCTTGGGAAGCTGGCCGCTAGATGTGCTTTCAAGGAGTGATTTCAGGATGATAGCACGAGGACAGAGATTGTTAAGGCCCTTCTACTCTGAAAAGCCTCATGAGTGAGACAGCTGCATTAAACTAATTCCGCTTGCACTGAAGCAGCAGTGCCAATTATGATTGCTACTTTGGTGCTGGATTAGTTCACAAAAAAAGAGATGGGAATCCATTGCACTGGCAGTCTGAACCCTGATCTTAAGCATAGGCGT